AAATGTGTTTTAATGTTAGATATTTTTAATAGACTTCAGATTAAGTGCATACCTCCATTATTTTGTTAATCATATTTAATGGACAAAATTGAGTACGAAAGCCTATAAAGATAGGGTGTTATCTTGTCGGTTAGATTTGGGGCCTTGCTCCAGGGAACGACCTCTCTTAAATCACAGAATGATGAATCATTTTCACTAACAGTAATACCTGTCTCGATTTCCTGCCGGATCTGTCATGAAGGTCTGCTCGTTTGTGTTAACCAAGAGGATTTTATCTAAATTTTCCGTAATATTTTTTTTTTTTAAATCTGTTGAAGTAAAAGAAAAAAATATGTGATGAAAGAAAATATTGTTTATCATCGTATAATGGGTCGCTTTTAGAAATAATTTTATCCAAAACACAAATACAAACATTGAAAATGAATACAAGAACTTTCGGATTTGCATATGGTATGTATTATTTCGTTCTGTATTAATGTGTGTCGGTATCAGAAACACATGCATATTTCCGTAAAATCTTCGATCGAGCTCAAATTAACGTGTTTATTTTGGCTTAACCCCAAAATATTGTTAACAAGGGAAGTTGCCTTTCTTCAAAGGGAGAGCAATACGCAGGGTAGAAAATTTCGTGATAAATATGCGTATTGTGTTTGTGTAAAGATATGGCTTAACACGTGCCAATATTCTTAACAGTTCCCTCGTTTTCCTGAAGGTTAACTATTTTTAAATATCTTTACCAACCATTCCTCTGTTGCACATTCCAATTGCCGCCACACTTGATATTATCAGATATTTTTAGAATAACAACCGTGAAAATATAATATCGTGCAAAATAGGTGATTTTGAGTAATATAACTCTGCCTTATCCGTAAAGTCTGTCTCTACCGTATAACATAGACACGTGAAATAGGTCAAAATCACATTATGCACATTTTTCATTTTAGGTTTTGCGACTCGAGAAGTGCCGCTGGATCCTATATTAGAATAAAAAGCTGTACAAACAATCACTGTTTTCCCCATCGGAACTGAATGCTACAGAAGATATACTTTCTAGCTTTCTACTGTTCACAGATAAACTTTATTTCCCACTATCTACGAAACACTGCGTCCATCTTTATAAATTGAAACCAGAATGCAATAATAAAACGCTACTTTGAATGATAAGATATTTTCTTATCATTAAGTATGTCAATCTCGCTATTTAAGTAAACAAATGCATGCCCTGTCTCTGTCTTTCATCATTTAGATAGCTAACGTACTGATTCCGTGGGCAATCAAGTATTCTGGCATGCGTTCACTTCGTATACAAACACCATTGGACATCGTCAGACTGGAAACAGTTTTTTTCCCGAAATAGATCTGGAATGATTCTTATAAAACATCAGTCATAATTATACACGTATAATCAACTACTTTACTGTGTTTGTTACCTGTGACGTTCGGTAAAACAGTATGGCCTCTATACCGACTGTATGTCATAAGAGGCGACTAATGTGGGTCCCTATGACGAATCTAGGGGACATTTGAGTTCCCGTAATCAAAGATCTGTTCACATTGCAACACTTGGAACCTCCTCCTTTTATCTCCACCTTAACGCCTCTCTTCCCTGTATGACGTAAAATACAGAACAAATCGTCACTAGTATGACCAGTAAGACGTTTGGCCCCTGTCAGTACACTGTACATACTTCCGGTACAAATGTATTTTTGCCGATTGTATTGGTGTTAAAATGGCAAATGATACATTAAGTTCAGCGTTTTTGTGTTTTATAAATTGTTAATATATGACGTCACAGATAACTAATGACGGTGTGTAATTTTGAAATATACATTATGATATAGCAATTTCCGTATAATACCCTCATATCAACATTTGACCGATATGGAAATGGTAATAATAAACTATTTCCTTATAAAACACATATTGACTTGTTTATTTAGTTCTAGAATGAGTCATATATCCTTGTAAATCCGGACTTCGATTTTCCGGAAACTCATTTTCCGGGTAATCAGAAACTGGACCACTTTTCATTGAGCATCCACGTCTGTTCACAAATCTGGGCTATTAGTTATTGCGTTTTTTAACCAGAAATCCAAGTGTTCTAATTTACGAATACTAACAGATAAAAATTGGAGATCTTGCCCCCGGTCAGTAATTGCATTCGCGAGGCCGGCGTACTAATTCACCATTTGTAAAGAAAATTGGACATGAGAATAAAATCTATGCAGCTTTCTATGTCTGGACCAAGGGCGATAATGTCAAACACGACTAAAATAAGAATAAAATCGTGGGTATTCAAACAAAATTTAAATGGCGTTTTGTTACATTTAGAGCGATAGAACACATTTATATGTTATAGATGTAGAAATTGTAATTAACAAATAAGAAAATGTGTAAGTAGTTAGAAATAATGTGTATCCGGGACAAAACCTTCATATAAAGCGATGAGGGGGACTTTTTAATTAAGAAATCGAGGGGTGTCACCTGCTCACCTTGACTAGTGCCTTTTCAGATTTAAATGTTTAAACTGAACGACCACTTCGATATTGGAGAAAGAGATTTATCACATAATGTACTGTGCTATCCAGTGAATATAACATTAACCATGTCATATATTTACGTATTAACCCATGTAATATGAACTATAATCCCTGTGATTGGTTGGAAGTTTCAGTTGTTTCAATTGTGACGTCACGCCCAGGACAAGATGGCGGCTTTTTACATTTCAAGATTGCATGGAAATTGTCGTTTCACACGAATAAATGCCACAAATCTTGATTGTGTGATAAAAAGGATCTTACACTCGTTTTCATTTCATATGAAATTTATAAAACTCGTTACGAACTTTTCACTTGAGCTCGCCAGAGGCTCGCTAAATTGAAAAATTCTTAGACTCGTTTCATAAATCTCATATGAAATGGAAGCACTTGTAAGATCAAATATTTATGGTCTCACGCTAAAATAATTCTAAATCTCTGACAATCTGAAATAAATGGTATGGGTTGAATGTTAATCTGCTCTAGGTATCCGGGACCCCGATACGAGGAAACGAGCGATTCTTTATAGCAATAAGATGTGGGTGGTATACTTTAAACCTTCATTTGTTTTCTTTAACGTCAGAATTCACAGCTGTTTCCAGACAGATGGTGAATCTTTAAAAATAAAGGGACGACTAGGTATATTCACTGATAATAACCCTCATCAAAACTTAATGGTCAAAGGATCAATATTTAAAATAAATAATTATTATGTCAAATAAATAAACATTGTGTCTAGTAAGTAAACATAACGGTAACATTTCGGTAATCCGAATAAGCTGGATTTATTTGTTCCAGGTTTTGCATCAAACTTAACTGGGTTTTTTTCAGAATGGATACACATTTTAATGTTTCAAGTCCGTTGAATGAGTAAAAACACGTTTACAAGATCAGTAATGACACATGATGGCCAATGCAGTTCAGAAACATAAAACCCTATAAAATAATTATTCCATTTTTTTTCCACGAAAATATAAATGACTGAATTATTAACGATATTCTATTGGAGTGGTTTTTTTACGATATAAAACGAAGCTTCGTTGTTAATACTTTCCGTACGCATATAATGCAGTGACTCGTTAACTTTTCAATGACGTCACTTCCCTCTCAAGTAACAATTGAGAAACAGGAAAAATGAAACACACCTTCCTTAGAAATGCCCTCAACAACACCGTGAAACGTCTGGAAACATTCCCCATTCCACTGTAGTTGTCAGGACCATTTTCATCACAACAAAAATGACGGGTACTAATATCTAGAATCTTTCAAGAGATTGGGAAGTTGTACATAAGTTTTCGCAAACCAAAAGGTTCGGCCAAGCAAACTTTCACGATATATTGAATAAAAAGTACTCGTGTGTGTATATCGTCTCACCCGAGGTTCTGAGGGGGTGAATGTGAGCTGTTCATCAACCACAAACAACATTATATATAGTTTTACGATCTAACACAGTAACAGACGACATACGTTATTTTTCAGACACTTGGTACCTCGTATATCAGCCAAGCTTTCTGGTTAGAGAGGTGCTGCCGAGACATAGGTATTTTGTGAAGTTAATATGTCTTGGTCTGCTCATGACCTAGCTAAAGTAACAAACAATAAACAAATAAACATGTTGACCATGTACCGCCGACTTCCCCCATTGTTCTCGTTGGTAACTATCCCTTGACCCGTATTTATGAAACCGTTTTAATGCTCAAGCATGGGTTTTGTGCTCAAGTCGAAATTCTTGTTATAAATCAATAAAAATATCTTATTTTGTCAATGATTTTACAAATAATTGAAGAGACTTAAGGCCACAACCTGTTTTCAATGTTTACTTTTAACTATTGGATCGCTGGACATGGTTTTAGCGAGCTGCAAAAATTTTGGTTTGAGCACAGAATCCGTGCTTGAGCATGAGAACGGTTTCGTGAATAAGGGCCCTGGTTTGTACGGTAACTAAAGCAGTAGTTTCATATACAGTTCGAGGGGAACTCCAATGTTAAGTATGCATGTAACTTCAGGATATATGACATGATTATATGAAACAAATTTCCTTTAAGAAAAAAAAGTTCTAAACTAAGAAATCGCTTGAATATATTCATGAAAGGTGATTTAGACTTGTTTACTAAATGACACAATTTGAATACTTATATTTATAGCCTACATTTAGTTCTGATGTATTAGATAACGCCCATGAACAGTTCTCAGGGGAATAACTTGATCACAAATCACAAGTTTTGTGAGTAAAGTAGCGCTTGCATATATCCTTTAAGTGCTTAATAAATTCCGCGATGACGTAAAATTGCACGTTCACAGCAGTTGAAACTTTTCATCTGATCGATTTTCTCATGAAAAAACCCCCACCTCTTTTTATTCCCTCCAGGCAGTTTCGTGTGTGTTCATTTCTAGCTAATATATGAAACAATATATATTAAAAAATAAGATCGTACAAAATTCAGGAATTTAAACTAAAGTAAATAATATTTCATGATTTATTTCAAGCTAAAGCAAAAGCTTCATAAAAAAAGAAATAACATCTAAAATACATTGATATGTAGAATATGTAAATGACCCGCAATGCATGCTGGGATACTTTATACCTGTCTTAAAGCGCTTCCACATGCTACCATTCCATTTACAATATCATGTGACGGCCTGGTGGCCATTTTGGTTTCAGAATAGTCTGACATAGCTTCTACCATTCCACACACAAGGTCACGTGACGGTCTGATGGCCATTTTGGCCTCGGAATGGTCTTGCATAGTTCCTAGAAGAAGTGTCCCAATTGAAGTTCTTTCTTCAGGTAAACATTTTAAAAGATTTTTAATGTACTCGAATATATTTTTCTCTGTTCTGGAAAATGAAGTGGAGTCTATACTACAAAGTAATGCTGCCACCTCTTCGGAATCTTGAAGCACAGTCTCCGCAGTTCCGTGAAGTAAGACTTTCCCAAACAGGAGATAATACAGTAACATTCCCGTACTCCACAAATCTGCCATTAAAGCATTATAAGGCACTTCCTTTAAAACTTCAGGAGCTAAATACGGTACGTTTCCAAGGTAATCTTCACACATGACCTCTTCACCTTTACTTGACACCGCACAAACAGCAAGACCAAAGTCGGCCAATTTGATAACGTGATCCGCAGTTACTAAAACGTTGCTGGGGGTCAGGTCTCGATGTGCAATCCCACACGAATGACAAAAATCGATCGCTTTTAAAATCTGCACACCGAATCTTCTCAGGAATATGCCCTTCATTGGGAAGCGTTCTCGTAAATAATTTTCCAAATTTCCATTTTCGGCATATTCCAGAATTAAATTAACCGTATTAGAACCGATGTAAACGTCCTTTAACCCGATAATATGGTCGTGTTTAAGCTTTGTAAGGCACTCAATTTCTCCAACAATGTACTCGTCTTTAAGAAGGTTTCCTCTGTATTCTATTTGCTTCAATGCAAACACGATCCCTCCATTCAAACTCTGTAAAGTGAAAATATCACCGAAGCTTCCCTCATCAATCTTTTCCAAAATTTTATATTTGGCTTCCATCTTGAGAAAGAAAATCAAAATTTAAAATGTTCCGCTTCTGATTCTCATTCGTTGGTATCTTTCCTTTCAATATCCACTGACCGTCAAAATAGTGTAACTTCAAAACTCAAACTGCCAATTTTCCATTCTGCCAGATTGCCCAAACGTACGCCAGAACATCTGAATATTGTTAAGACTTCCAAAGATTAGTTGGTCCAGTCTGTCATCAGTTTCTTAAAAAGTGTATATAAAAGAAAAATCTGGTTTATATCCATCTCATACACAGAGGAGGGTAATCCATTACTAATGTTTAAAATCTGTTCTAGATTAAAAACCTTAACGCACGCAATAACTTCACCAATGAAAATGTCGGGTAGGTTTGTGTTGCCGACAAACTTCCGCTTCACTCCTCCAAAATTTTTTCGTGTATTTATCCGTTATATTTTTTTTATAAAACCACAATTCATTTCACTAATCACGATTAATTATGATAACATAGCACGCACTTTAATCCAATTCTGATACAACCATGTTGTTTTTATGTGAAGAAACTCTCCAATATAACTCGCGAGAATCACATTTCTGTGCTAGTTACAAGCTGAACAATACACACGAAAACTTTATGTGTAAATATTCCTGTTGTTCCAGCTGGTTCAATATTCCAACTATTTCCCGTTTTCTTCCATTATCCTATTACAGATATGTATATGTTCCTAATTACACTACATTAGAGGTCCGGAGTTGCACTATATACAGCCAAAGCGCTAGCTCTATGTAGACATGTATAGTTTCCTCCCATGCAAATGTATAGGTATGTACGAGTGTATTGTAACTGCCTCTGGCAAAGCTGTGGGCACAGGATCTTTATACGAAAGGTGCAGTAATTCGGATAACATCTAAGACTCCTGATTGGCGGACGCTCCATGTTAAATGGCAGTAGACATATATCAAGTTTCTTGTAAACAAAACTCGACAACTTTTATCAGATAAAATTCCAGTGCTCAGAAATCTTTCTAATTAGCACACAAAAAAATCGGGTAAAAACTGGTAACAAAACCGCAGCCTCCAAAAAATACAAACAAAGTTGGAATTCAAATCACCAAATGTTGTCTGGAAAAAGATCATTTCATGCATCGTAAACTTTGGGGTTTCTATATCGGTTCAGCAACGAACAGTTAATCTTTATTTATAGACTTACTTTCGTTTTGAGATAATTTTCCTGCAGTCAGCGTGGCTGACATATTTTACGTAATGCGTTGCCAATTTATTACCGAGATGGCCCGATCAGATTATTTTTATCATGTATATTTGAAAATGTTCATGTCATGGGTAAACTTGATTTCCTAAGATTGATGACGGGACGCTTATATCGTTGGGCGGCGAGCCATGTACCGTTTCCTGCCACTCAACATGTCAGTTTCGTGATAATTAACGACCAAGCACTTCAAATTTTACTTCATACTCAATTTCTTTACAAAACATAGCACTTTTATTTGAATTTAATATATTGAAGAAATTAAGAATATTCAAGATAGACCTAATGCACCAAGCACAATAATAACGTAATGTAACCTAACACAGAAGAATTATCCTGATATATTTTGATAAATAACCAAAATACATGTAAATTGCTTTTTCCTGGTTTCTGATGTAACACCTCAGGGAATTGCCTGCCCCCGGGTTAGCTACATACACTTGTTAAAGTTTACATATGTTCGTATGTCCATGATTATTTACACCCCTGCAGGTGGGGGACCGGGAAAAGAATACACCTGCTGTTACCCATTGCATGTATCGTAGGAGGCAACTAATGAGGGAACCCCTGCATAATTGGGGATTTGCTTTGGTGTTCTCTCTTTGGGGACACAAAAGCGACCAAAATAACTCTGCTGCACCCATTGCAATATTTGGGATCTTTATCTTTCGTTCTACTTCTAATTACCTTTTATTTCCTAGCGCCTTGCTTGGCAACACCTCACTTTTGGCCTTAATATTGAGCGTTCGCCCAGATGAGGAAGGCAATGGGTTCTGTCCCCAGGCCGGTACATACCAAAGTCCATAAAATGGTAGTTGTTATTCCGTGCTTAACGTTCAGCATTAAGGGGAATGGCAACAACTGGTTCACCCGTTGTCAGTATAATGTGACCGGGTGGAATGCTGTGCTTGGTGCCTTCGGCATGGTACTTCAGTGAGATAGCACTATAAAGTAGGCATCAGATCCGCGCTATCACAAGAAGGCAAGCACACCAACATGCCCTGTCTCCTGCATACACACACGCAAGCACACATACTCCACACACATGAATGCACGTCCTTAAATGACCTTAGCTGTTAATAGGACGCTAAACAAAATTAAATCAAACCAAACCCTGATTATTAATATTTACTCTAAGACCTTATGGGAAGAAAGGATACAAATACAACACCGTACCTCTGTCATTTGTTTGTTTGTGTTTTACATCATATTAACAGCTATGGTCATTTAAGGACGTCCCAGGTTTTGGTGGTGGAAGAAAGCCGGAGTACCCGGAGAAAAAAACAGCTACCTACGACCAGTACCTGGCGGCTGCCCCACGAAGGTCTCGAACCCCCGACCCAGTGGTGGAGGGCTAGTGGTAGCAGAATGTCAGACACTTTAACCACTTGGACACCGCTGCCTCTGTCATTGATTATTCAGGTATGATAATTTATCAGTCATAGGCAACATTTGCTATAGAAATTAAACGAACAGAACAAATTAATTTAAACGTTGAAAAAAAACCCACCGTGCATTTTAGAATATAGACTTGCTAGCGTTTTCAACACGGGACTAGTTAGCTTGGGGGACACATGATATTACTTATATACTTATATTGGTAGTTATTATGCTATATAAATATTTGTTTCCAAGATACACAACACAAAACGAAATGCTTTCAAATGTATTATTTTCAAACATGGGGTGAAGTGGGGTTTGGTGGGTTGTTAAAATAGGTGATAGGAAGTATTTGAAAAAAAATAATCAAATTTTCTATTTGATACACAAGCAATGTGCGTGTTAAACATGTCGTTCGCTTTAAGGCTGACTGGTCCTTTTGTCAAGCCAAAAATAGAATTTCTTATTTTGTAGATAAAAACAACGTTCAAAAGAAGCCCAACCTGTGCTTTTGAGAAAAGTCAGGGTTGTATCCTACATTGCACAAATCACCATTCATTAAAGATATTTTTAATGTTTCTTGGTGATGAACTCTTACAAAACGGAAATTCGTGTCACATTGATATATCATAAAGCGTTTTCATTGCTTTCTGTATTCCCTCTGTTCAGGCATGCGCAAGCGCTCAAATCACATGACAAAATCTCGGATTCGGACTGGGAAATGTTCCCGTTGAAACATAACACACTAAGTCACATTATTCTGACAGCGAGCTAATATTGTCAGATCATATTTCTGTATCTCATTTATAATATGTAACTTCTACTTTGTTCGTCTAGACAATTCACATGATCGCGAGACAAATCATCATATCGATCGGTTCCGCGTCTCCTGGAAGCACGTGTCCAGTCGTGAAACTCTCTCAAAATCTCGCGAGAATTGTCACACAGTTGTGGGTGATAACCATCCGTTATAAAATGTAAATTTGGAATATTTTAAACATGTCAATTACTTCGAATGTATTTGTCTGTTGTTAAATTACCTCCCTGGTGGTAAGGTGATATAAAAAATTATTAACCCTGAGCAGCCGTATTCCCTGAGGGCCAACATCACCCTACCACCATAGCCATAGGGGAGTATGACACTCCATTCAGTCACATTATTCTGATAACTGGAAACATAAAAGTTATGAACCTGTGCCGGTCCGGGGAACGTATTGACTTGCTGTATGGCATCGTGTGAGGCGACTTATGTGGCCCTGTAGAATTGGGACTTTTCTTGNACCTATCTCCCTAGCTACCCCGCCTTCATACAACCATGGCTGTTGCAAGGAGTCAACGTGTATGAGACGAGAAGAAAAAGAGTAGTGCATATCAAGCTATCAATACTTAAGCTGAAAACTTCTTTAGTTTAATCTGTAGTGGCGTCCCAAGGTGGTGTTAATGATAGGATGAAGCGGTGCTTCCTTGACTTATGTAACACAGACCTATCTGCCAAACCCACAGCTTTTACAATGTATACGTGTAAACCATTTATAACCATCACTACTTATAAAGTAAACCGAAAATCTGCGGAACAGATAAAGTTTTCCCTATCGATACCAGTCCTTACTGTATGTATTGAAGCAACGTTAGCTTGCTTCATATTTCTGTCAAGTTTTTGTTTCTGTATACAAATGACGGACGCTAATAGCAACAATCATTTCTTTTTCCTCGTGTACTGCATTCGATTAACAAGATAATGCATTTCGCAGATAAAAACCTCACCAAACAGGATATGTCAACTTTCAAGATGCCGTCTAAAAATCTAAAACGAAATATATTTATTAACTTAAAGCTATTTTCAGAAACTTTGTTTTTGCAACACAAGCCGAAACCATAAAGTGTAATTGGTGTGCGTTCAGAGAAGAAGACAACTATGAAAGGGAACTAATCCCGTATAATTGAAAGTGTATAAAAAGTAGGTTTCTGAAACCTGATTACTACCTTTTTTTCTGATGAGCTAAAGCTCTAAGTAAGTAATGCCGTTTTTATCTTTGCAGCTAGGCTAACTTTGCTGTTACGTTGTTGGCGTAAATACCGATAAAAACCTTTGAAAGATTTTCTTTCAGACTGTTTTCAACTGAGTACCGTTTTTTGCTACATATTTGGTAGTAAAATCCCCAGGTCAGATTCACACTTTAAACTAGGCGAGTTTATTACTATACCGTAACCCAAGAACAGAATAAACACATTTTGACAATTTTATTGCCCTATTGTTAAATCATATGCTGGTCCACCATAACGGAAACTGACAAAGTTACCTCCCTTTAAAATCTTATAGGTTCGATCTAACGTCAGTGATGTTAACACGATTTTGAAAACAAAGAAATCAAGTGTTTTTCCCTTTGTGCACTCAAATCAAAATGTCGAGATTGACAAAGTTCAATTGTATACAAAATAAATATTTCCTGCAGACGAACAAGTTCCCACTGCACAAAAAAGGCAACGTGTCTTGGTTAAGTTTCAACTGTACATACAAACCAAGATGTCTAGACAAATAAGGTTTAATTTCACTCATAAACTAAAATATCTTGAATAATGATGTTTTAAATAAAAACTTAAGTGTCCAGACTAACAAGGTTTTGCTGTTATCATAACCCAATATTTCGCTTTACACACAATCCACATTGTCTGGACTGACAAGGTTCCGATATACACACAAACCAAAGTACTAGCGAAAATAGCCGGACTTCCTCGGTTAACCTTACTTGCCATTCGGGGTGTCACATTACACATAAACCGATCTGTCCAGGTCGACTTCCATTATATTCACAACAGTGTCCGGACTGACAAGGTACCTCGGAATACACAAACAAATCAGCCGGACAAATTAGGTTAGCCTTGACACACCGACCGAAGTGTTTTGACTAACGGGGTGTCGCAATACACATTAAAAAACGAACCGGTCCAAACAAATATGCATACTCAATAGTGTCCTGACTGACACGGTTCCTTGGAATACACAAACTCAAATAGCCGAAATAAGTAGAATAACCTTTATACACCGACAAAAGCGTTTTGATAAACGAGGTCTCACAGTACACATTTAAAAACAAAACGTATCTGTCCAAACAGATACACAACAGTGTCTGGACTGAGAAGATTCAATGAACCTCGATAAACATGAAACTTAATACCCGGTTAAACCACGGACTTA